TTGGACTAGTCTGAAAAAACGAGAGTTGTTTGTCATCACCGGTTATATATGCAATTACAGAAGTTTCTTCGATGGAGAGTTCGAGTTCTTGAAAGAGGAATAAAGATGCTTTAATTCAATCCTGGAGGTGTTAATTCAATGATTCAAGTCACCGATTTTAAAGATATGCCCAAAAGAGAGCTTTGTGTTGCTTCAAATCACATCCTCTGTGTGTGTATGTGCGATGTGTTATAATTTTTCAGATAGTTATAAGAGATAGAAGAGGAAACACGAAGAAGATGAAGTAAAAGTGTACAGGTGCGTATACAGTATATGTGTGTGTGGAGAGAGAGAGAGAGAGAGAGAGAGAGAGAGAGAGAGAGCCCTCCTATTTAAGATAATGGCGGTGGTGAAGGGTATGTGGTGGTTTGTTTGGGGAGAGAAATAGAGAGAGAGAGAGAGAGAGAGAGAGAGAGAGAGACCTTTTATATATTTAATTATGTTTAATTTTTTTCGTTTTTTAAAAAATACGAGAAAACATCATAAATGGTCCCTGTGGTGGTGAAATGACGAAAATACCCTTCAGTCAACGGACAAACTTAACGGAGTTAACAAAAAAGACCAAACATCAAAAGTTTTGAAAACATAGGGACCATCTATGAGGTTTTTAAACCACGGGGACTAAACTTCAGATTTTGGGTAACCACAGGGACCATTTATGATGTTTTTTCTTCTGATTAAGCTAAAAAAATCAAAATTAAACCGGTTCATACTTGAAACGCGCATTCTATCCAGCAAAGCAAAACCGCAGAAGCACCGCCCATCTCTCAAAATCAACACACGGGAAGGCAATCAATCAGGGAGAAACTCCAGCGGTAGAAGCCCAAAGAAACTACCGCCGGCGACGACTTTCCTCCCATCTCCGATCATAAAAACGAAAAACATGACCGAAGAAGGGAAGACCAAAGGCATCGCTTTCCCCGGCGACCATCAACCCTCGGCTCCGCCTCAGCCCCACCCGGCTTATTATTACGGTACGTTTCAAGGGGTTGCGAATCACCAACCACCATATCCTCCGCCGCCGCCGACTTATCAACCTTCCGTAGGCTTTCCTCAACCCAGTCCTCCGGCCAACATTCACAGCCACATCCATCATCCGTACTATCCACATGGCTATCAAACTGTTCCAGGTACGTTTGTATACCTAATTAGCCTGATTATGCGTTTTATGATCTCCCACTTGTTTCCTTCTTCACAATTGAACTTTCTCATGACCCTTTCTCCAAATTCTCGAATTAACATATATTTGTATACCTAATTAGCCTGAAATCCGAGGCTTGGAAGTGGATCTTGTGTTAATTTACTTGTATTCTTTGTTTGTAGTAATTCCCTTTATTCATCATCTAGCTATTATTGGAAAAAACGTATTCTTTAAAGTCTCTGAACAGCTCTGTATGATTAACTCCTTGGATATATTATATATTCATCTCATTTTAATGGTGAATCAAGTCTTTGAATGCTTTTTCGGGTTTCTTGTTTACTTGAAACTTATGAATATTTCACTTCTTCAGGCATTGTGGTTGCTTCCGGGACACCTGTGATAATAGAGCAAGCTGCTCTTCCTTGCTGTGGTTTCGGGATTGGTTGGGTCCTGTAAGTCTACACTCATCTTTGTACTTTTAACTTTTCAACTTTTATAAATTTAAATTTCATGAGTTGTGTCTGAAACTCTGAATGCAGTTTTGTTGTTGGTTTCGTGTTTGGGGCTATTCCATGGTACATTGGAGCTTTCATTCTACTCTGTGTAAGGACAGATCGCAGAGAGAAAGCAGGACTTGTTGCGTGCACAATAGCAGTAAGTGTTTGTTACAAAAGGCTAAAAACTTTGTATGTATTTGTCAATGGGATAAAAAAAAGATTGCAACTTTTTGTTTAGATCAAAAAGGTGGGACAGGGGCTTGCTCTTGATGTCTTGTGTAAAAGACATAAATGCCCTCCTCTCTGTTATTTTGAAAATAGCCCTAGAAAGTCTGTCGAGTTCTGTCTTAATAGTTAATTGATGTTGGAATTGGTTGTTTTGTGCAGGCAGTTTTGGCTGTGCTTGCTCTTGGTCTTGGTGTGAGGAGGGTGGCATACTGAGTTTTCTTCTAGATTTGCATTATATTGTGTTGTATAGTCATCAAGAAATTGTGAAAAAAAAAACATGGGTTGCTTCTTGTAAAGCTACAATATGGTCTTATTGTTATTAATCTATTATCTATGTAAACATGTTTTTTTTGCTATGTTGTTGTGGGACCCTTTGAAATTTCTTGAAAAAGAGGGTAAAAAGAAATGTTTTTGTGTGTTTTTGGGTATATAGTTTGTGATATTAATGATTATTAAACATAATTAAACATAACATCAATTTAGTTGAATAAGACTTAAAGATAACATTGATGACTTTATTAGCATTTGAAAATAGTTGATGTTATTTTCAAGCCATCTCTTGTCTAACTACAAATTTAAGCAAAACAAGGGTATGTTTGTCTAAATACAAATTTAAGCAAAACAAGGGTATGTTTTTTTTTTAGAATTTGGTTCTGTTCCATCTTTAATGTTTGAAATTTTCTCACTTTCAAACTCTTTTGCATGTACTTAAGTGAAACCATTGTCTTACAAAATTTATAATATGAGAAGTGATTCGTACACAACAATTTTTTTCAATATACAACAATTTATGTTTTATAGAGTTGTACAATACAATATTTTAAAACACAAATTATTGTGTATTGAGAAAAAATGTTGTATACGAATCAACTTATTTGTAATAAGCTTCATTATACGAGAGCCAACTAGATGGATCTTTTAAACTAGGGTTTATGTCACATTTAGATGGATCTTTTAAATTAGGGTTTATGTCACATTTGAGCATTAATGTATTAGTGGTTTACTTTTTATGATAAGTGTTTTAGAGAAGATTGTGTATATAACTTGTTATTTTGTATTTATTAGAACCAATAGGTTATTTTGTATTTATTATACCAACGGAACCGGTGGTGTGTAGTGTTTTTTACTACATGGTAGCTTATAATGAAAAATGCTTTTATCACATTTTGAGTATTTTGAGGCTTTGACCATTAAAGTGTTAGAGTTGTTTAATAATTGTTAATTGAGTCAATCTGATTTAATCAATGTCTGAGTCGGTCACACCCAACTTCTTACTGGACCCAATAAGCAAGAGGCATATTAGATGATATAGGATTGAGTCAGACCTAACCTCTTATCAGACATAGCAAGAGAACATACATAATGGCTTTATACTACTCATTATACAACGCATGGTCAATTTAACGAAAGAATTTGAATCTCTTCCTATTTCCTTTCAACCTACAAATTCATAAGCGATATAGTCATAATTTTAATTGCCATACAACATTATATTTGTTTTGGGGACTTATATCATATTCACCTTTAACTTTGAGGAAACTATGATAAAAAGATGATGAAATCTTTTTTTTCAAAGAGAAGAAGATAATATATTGGACATATATATGAATACATAGATTCAGAAGATAGACGGGCAAGAAGTTGTGCCACTAGTCATTTCTAGATCGCAAAACTAATTCTTTTGAAAACAACATTCATGGATCTAAGGGATATACCATTACTATGCATGACCCGTTGAACTTTGTTGAAGAACTCTATTGCCTCTAGTATGAGAAAACCAAAAGTATCAAATGTGAAATGTATAAACACATGTTGATTTTCAATGTATGCATTCTCGTGTTTTGTCACTATGAAACCCCCACTCCTCAAACCCACGACAGGGGAGACCCCAGTAAGATCCACACAAGCGTGTTTCCCTCCATCTGAAGACCAAAATGTCAGCTGACTTGAGTGTGAATCTTCCATCCAGAAGACCAAAATGCCAGTTGACCTGAGTGTGAATCTTCAATCCAACGGGTCGGTCAAAAAGTTCAGAGCCGCTTCTTTCTTTATGGGAATACCAACATGTCGACAAACGTTAAAGAGAACATCCATGACCACATCATATTGGTATTTAAAGCCCGATGGCTCTTTACAATGAACCGTATGATCCCCAAAGGTGTCCAAACATGTCTTGCGGCAAACTGGACATATCTCGTCAATCGGGAATAGAGGAATCATGAGACGGTATTGAAGGATCGTGCGGTGTTCCACAAGAGACATATGTTGGCCAAGACCATCAACAAGGATAATTAGTAGAAGATCCTAAGCATAAGGTGCTCGAAGACACTAAAAGTTGTTTTATGTCTAACAGACATGTCCAAGACGACTTCCACATCCTTTATGATTTTGCTAAAAAGGGAACACACCAGTGCTTTTTGGGATTTAAAGGGGACGGTGTCCTTATTAGTGAAACCACTATAGTCGAATCCCAAAATCGTATAACGAAGATGATGAAATCTTCCATAATCCATCAATGATTCTCCATTCCCCTAAGATCGTGTTTCACTCCATAACATAAGTTAAAACATGAGATCATTAGGCGATAAAAACGACACTACTTATCATATTACAAGTCCTTTTCGTTTTCACTTTTCATTCAACTTGTAGGTTTTCATGTGGGAATAAAACCATACCAAATTGATAATTATTGGTTACATCAGGATAATAAGTATAAAATAACAAGTTAAGTGGTACACTTGTCACTAGAGAACCTAAAATCAAAGACCGGAGTTCACTGATAAGGTTTTCGAACACCACCATCAACTCAACGTGTTAGATATCCATAAGTTTGAATTCTAAATTCGCCACTCAACCTGAATATAACCTAATTTATCAAACATATTATCATGTGTTAAATTAAACGGGTCAAAACAATCTGCCCCATTAATTAAGTTTGACCTTTTGATCCATTTTTTGCAATACAATCGATATAATTTATGTTTTGTAATTTGTAAATGGGCTAAATCTCTTTGTATGGGCCATCTGTTTCGGCCCGGTTCAAGAACTAGGGTTTTCTCCCGGCCTGTCTACTCGCTTATATACAACTCTATGCCCTAAACCCCCTTTGTTAGCACCTCAACCACAGCAGCAGCCACCGTAGAAGACTCATCAAGAGGTAGCCGCGCCGGAAAAATGAGTTACAAGGTGCGTATATCTCCATAACATCTCTGATTTTATGTCGAATCGTTTGATTTGATCGTCATTCCCGTTTTCACTTCTCTGTCGATCGAATAGCATCGTCGTTCTTTATAGATTTCGTTTTTCTTCCAAGTCAAGGTTTTATGAAATGATTGGAATTAATTGTGTTTGTATATGGTGTAGTTCCATCAGTTTCAGGTCGTCGGTAGAGCCCTACCCACGGAGTCAGATGAGCATCCTAAGATTTATCGTATGAAGCTCTGGGCAACAAATGAAGTTCGTGCTAAGAGCAAGTTCTGGTGTGTTCTAGTTGATTTTGTTAGCTTTCTAATCTAATCGAAAAAACAAGAGAATCTGTTTCTGATTGACGTTTTTTGTTCAATTTTGTTGTTGATGAAAATCAGGTACTTCTTGAGGAAGCTGAAGAAGGTGAAGAAGAGCAATGGTCAGATGCTTGCTATCAACGAGGTAAACTCAACAGTTCTATGTTGTCTGTGCATTATAGTCCATACCTTGAATTTGGTAATATATCGATGTTTAACTTCTATCGGAATCTTGTTTACATGATGAAACTTTACTACATAAAATCGTTATGTTCATTTGGCTTAATGTTTTGGGTTTGAGGTCTCTGATGCAAATGGTATTTCAACTGTTTTTGTAGACCATTTTTCTTCAAACAAGTGTTAGCGGATTATCACAATTGAATATGTTTTAGATCATTAACCCAATTCCCGACAGCTTCTTCTATTGTCAATTTTCAATATCTAGTTGCAAACCATTGTTACATTTAATCAATTTTTGCTTTGCTTCCTGATTGATGCATGATAGAACCACATGAAAGCAATTTTCACTTCTGTAATCATGTAAGATTTATCTGATTGTTGTTTCATATGTAGATTTTTGAGAAGAACCCAACAACCATCAAGAACTATGGTATTTGGTTGAGATACCAGTCAAGAACTGGATATCACAACATGTACAAAGAATACCGTGACACCACTCTCAATGGCGGTGTTGAGCAGATGTACACTGAGATGGCCTCCCGCCACCGTGTCCGCCACCACTGCATCCAGGTCATCAAGACCGCCACCATCCCCGCCAAGCTCTGCAAGAGGGAGTCCACAAAGCAGTTCCATAACTCCAAAATCAAGTTCCCATTGGTGTTCAAGAAGGTTAGGCCACCCACTAGAAAGCTCAAGACCACTTACAAGGCTTCAAGGCCTAATTTGTTTGTGTAAGTGGAATGAGAAATCTTATGATATGTTTGTCTTTGAGTTATTGGAAGCTTTGATTTTTGTTTTGAGAGACAGGTTTTGTTGTTTACTTGGATCTTGAATGTTTTGATTATGTGTTAGGAATCTTGGATATTTGAGATTTTGATGGTGAATTTTATGATTAGGGAAGTGATATTGTTGGATAAAGATAATTAATGTTTGTTAAACCGAGTCACAAACCAAAAAAACTGATGTTTTTTGGGATAAGTCATTCTTCTATATTTTAATCAACTCGCTTGAAGTCAAGTTATTAGTTGTCAATAAATCCTAACTATTTATTGGGTTTTGGTAAGGTTGCATGTGTTATTTTTTGGCATAAACTTTTTTTATGCTAAAAAGTAGTATGCTCTTTTTTTTTGAATGGAATTCAAGTAAAAAGCAACTTCTCCCATCCATTGTTACCAAAGTGTGAATAGGGATTTATCTCTTGAAGAAAATGGGTCTAAAACACAATGCAGAATATATATATTCTTGTTAAACAACAAAGACAAAAATTCAAAAATGGTCCCTGTGGTTTCACAAAATCTAAAGATTGGTTCCTAATTTACAAAAACCTCACGGATCGTCTTTGTAGTTTAACAAAATCTGAAGATTGGTCCCTAGTTTACAAAAACCTCATGGATCGTCTTTGTGGTTTCAAAACTTTTAATGTTTAGTTCTTCTGTCTAACTTCGTCAAATTTTTACCGTTAAGTAAGGGGTATTTTTGTCATTTCAATACTTAGGGACCATTTGTGAAGGTTTTCTATTATTTTAAATAAAAAGAAAAATAAAAAATAATTATTTTAATATTTAATGGTTCTCTCTCTCTCTCTCTCTCTCTCTCTCTCTCTCTCTCTCTCTCTCTCTCTCTCTCTCTCTCTCTC